ACTACCTAAACTTTCACTTTTGTCATTCAAGGAAGAATTTGAGACATTTCAAATTAAAAGTCTATCCTTTTATTCCCTGTGTTACTGTAATTTGATATCTTTGTATCTTTTTCTTCCCATGAACAGTTGCTACAGAAGAGGGCTTTGGTTATAGCAGCCTGCATAAATGTCCGTATGGAGGTATTGTAGATATTGCCAAACTACTGTTAACACCTGCAGCTTATTACGCCAATGAAGTTCCAGCACTCCAGACGTGCTGTGAAATCACAGGGCCTCCTGCGATTAACACTCAGATCTGTCCCTCTTCAACAATATAATCACAGCTGTAATGCCAAGCCCAGTTTCACCGCTGTTATTGTCCTGCTCTCAATGACACTGTCTCATGTGTCTGTTACTGTAGATGTTGTCTTTCTTAGATCCTTGAGTTTGCTAGTCTCAGTCTGAAGTTATACAAAACTGGATAGAGATCTATAAGTTGTTTAAAAGAAAAAACACACTATTGCAGGTGACAATAAAGCCTCTTCGTGTGAAACTGCCAAATCGGAAGGGATGGTCCACCCCATTCCTGTAGGCATGGGATCTTCCTGTGGAAGAAATGGTTATGTCGGCCATATTCCATGTCACTGATTTGAAATATTAACACACTAATTCCTCCCAACAGAACTGCCGACTTTGGAAATATACTCTTTTTTTCGATCACGTCGTGCCAAAACCCTTTGGGTATAAAGGTGGTGCACTGGCAGTGTAACTCGCACTAATCTGGATCATGTTACAGAAGATATACATCAGAACAAAAGCAATGACAGATTGACCTAGCTCAAAAGCAAAGCTTGGTCAGTCATTGCCTTTTCTCCTTTCAGAAAAAAACTTAACATTCCAGGTGGAATATATTACAGTTATTCATAAACCTTCATATTGTTTTCCCATCAAGTGTGTCCTAAATGGTAATTATTGAAATAGTAGAGCCAAAAACCTAAAATATAAAAATAAAAGCTAATTAAAAATATTAATTATAAAAACTAATATAAAAAAGTATATACTATTATTAAGAATATTTGAAGTATTTATATAATATTTATAATAATATTTTGAATATGCTTTTATTTAAAATTTGAATTTTAGTCTCTTTTTATTAGTTTCTGTTTTTTTAATTATTTCTACATAGCTTTAATTTTTTATTTGTTTTAGCATGTAATGTAGCATAAATGTGGAGTGAGGGGACAAAAATAGATTTTTTTTCTAGTTTATGAATATCTGTTCGATGTTTTTCTTCTGTCAGTGTAAACTTTATATCTAGCAATATTGTGATTTTCTTGTCACAAGCATACAGTGTCCTAACCGGTTGCAATGGAATAGTAATTTGTCTGTCACTAAAAGCAAACACTGCGCAATAACAATCTCCTGTTGAGGCTGATTAGGACACAGTGGTGTGGTTTGATTCATTTGAACTGTATTGCATTGGCATAACCCGTTTTTTTTTTATTCATCAAAACATCCTAGAATTAAGTCTTTTTTTATCCTCTGTTGCATTGCAGCAATGCAAATGGATTTGGAGATATCGTATCATGCATTACAAGAGACTAATTAAACCAGAGCATTAGGTTTCATTTGAAGGATTCTGACCCCTTTCAAAATCTCAGCAGCTAGAAAGTTGAACGTGCAGTCACCCAGATAATGTAAAAGCTAGTTTTACACTCCTCCATAAGAGTCTGCAGCTTTTAAAGTGCCCCTATTATGGATTTTTGAAAATGACCTTTCATGTAGTGTGTAACATCTCTAAGTGAATGAAAACATCCTGCAAAGTTTTAAATCTGAAAGTGCACCGTATATAAAGTTATTGTCTTTCAAAAGTAAGAGTCGACTCTGAGTCAATGAAATTGTTTGTTTTTCAAACGAGTCCTAAGCCGTTTCGTTGTGACGTCAAGACGAAACATTAGCATATTGCCCGCCCACTTATTGCGCACGCAGACACCAGGGAAAACTTGAACCTCAAACCGACAGCTGATTCCCGTGGATACTGGATAGCATCATGTTGAGAAGAAGCTGTGCTCTACAATGTGAAGGTAAAGCCAGTTTTATTCACTGCCCAAGGACGAGCTATTTAAGAATCTAGTGGTGCAACGGATCATCATTGATCCGTGATCCGTTCGGATCAATATATTCGGTTCTGCACACACGTGATCCGCGGATTGATTTATGAAAGAAAAAAAAATTGTACGCATGTTCAGTCCACACACATCTCCACTGCGTGGTCATGGCGAGCGGAGGAACGAAGGAGCTTGAACGCCCCGCGTCATTTAAATCCCCTGTATGGGAGCATTTTGGCTTCCCTGTCAAATATAATGATGACGTAAAGAGCTTAGTGGATAAAACCGTCACTGTAGATTTGTTTTACCAACGTTTATGTTACATCAGTCATTCACGCTAGAGCTTGGCTAATGTATGCACTGTTATTGATACAGTTTACACATGTTCACCGCAATAAATTAGAAAAATTCTCGGTAAATAAGTACAAGTAAAATATTCGGTTTGTTGATGGACATGCACTTGTTAATGCTGATGGTGAGGAATTACAGTTGCAACATCTCATAATGTACCTCAAACTGAGTAGTGTATCACCCAGAAACGTCCTGCTCGAGTCGTCCTTCCGATGGAGGTTCAGGTTGAATAACTAGTTCTTCCAGAGTTTAATCAATTACCATTGATTAGGTAAAATCGACGTTATTGTTCGTTACTGTGTTTAGTTTACGGTGTAGGATGCTTCAGGACAAGCAGAGCTGACGTTGTTATGGCAATGGACGTTTTTGTTTTCGACACGCGCTGTACGTGGTAGACCAATCACAACAGACTGAGCTGTCTGGCCAATCAGAGCAGAGTAGCTCGCGAAAAGGAGGGATTTAGAGAAATTGATTCATCTGACGAGTCGTTTGAGAATCATTGAAAATGTGATGTGCAAATGTATATTATGAGAAAATGAAACAGTTTTTTGACCTTTGATGCATGTAAACCTGTTGTAGGAGACTCCAAAACAACATTAGGAAACTTTAAAATAGCATAATAGGGGGATTTTAAAATGAGAGCCAGACTTAAAAAGGGTCATTCTGAATCATACAGTTGGGCTTTTGCTATAAACATCTTCAGTACTTGATGTAGACTTGACTTGATGCCTGTTAATGCATGTAGTGAATATTACAAGTAAAACAGTGTGTTTATATTATCTTAAAAAAATAATGTATATAATTTAGACTGACTTTTAACCCGTTTAATCCCACAGGTCACAATTGTGACCGCAGCTTTTTTCTTATTTCTGGAAGCTCTTAAAATGTTTTTATTGACTTTGGGCAAGAAATTCAACTTTTGAATGACAAAATAGATTGTCTTGATTAAAATCAATTAATGTCATGTGACTAGTGTGAAAGGTCACATGACCAGATCAGTTCACTTTCTGCTTGCACATCTAGAAGAAGATGTCTTCCTCAGACTACTATAAAAAGTAGTATATAAAACATCTTAATTTGCAAATAGAACTATCATATTTTGTACATATAATCTTTAAAGGGTCTACTACTGATATATTTTGAGAATTATACTCCTGCATATATATTTTGCTCGTTAGACTTGTAAATTTGTTTACGGTCACAATTGTGACCGGTAGTATAACACAGTGCTTCAATTGAAAACAGAGGTATTGGCAGGTTTTGGCAGGTTTTGGCAATCCTACACTGAACATGCCACACCTGTGAGGGGGATGGATGATCTTGGCAAAAGAGAAGTGCTCACTAACACAGATTTAGACAGATTTGTGAAGAATATTTGAGAGAAATAGGCCTTTTGTGTACATAGAAAAGGTCTTAGATCTTTGAGTTCAGCTCATGAAAGATGGGGGCAAGAACAAAAGTATTGCGTTTATAATTTTGTTCAGTGTAGTGATGAGTGTCCCAGAAACGGTCAATGTGCTGGACCTTCTTGACGTACGTGACCCCCTTCCCCCCACCCCAAATTGAAAGTGACTGTGATAGTGATGGCTCAGATAGGGAGTACCAGGGTGAAACAGCCCATTTGCCAAGTAGACTATTGAATGGCGATGCAGAGGTGAATTATCTGGAGGACTGGGCAGATGTTCATGAGAACCAATTGGTGTGCCCCACACATGACCACAAACAACCCTTTCTACAACGTACGGCCCATCTTCAGTGCACTGAATGAGTGAACACACATCTCCCTGAAACTGGCCTAGGACAGGGCCCAAGTGTAGTCATGGTCTAGCCCATACGGGTCTAGCCGAACAAGCAGAAGTTCCTCCAGGGTGTAACTTTGTACATGACAACCTTTTCACCTCACTAAGCCTTCTTCATGAAATGACAAAACGAGATATTGGATGTCTTGGCATGAATTGTGTCAATAGGTCTAATTGAAGAATTTGAATGAATTTTGACTATGTTGTTTCCCACCGGTCACTATTGTGACCCGAGTATAAAACCTAATATTTCACTAACTTAACCAACATAAAATCAAAAAAGGCATAATGTTTGAGTGTTAGGGAGGTCTAAGGAGTAAAATGGATGTACTCAAGTTGCAAGAAAAAATTTGGGATTAAACGGGTTAATATGTAAAAGGCATTTGCTAATATTGCATAGTTCATCTAAATACATCATTTACTTTTCCGAAATATTCTACATATTGCAGCCTTGGTTTAAAATGAATCATCATCTAGCTGTCCTCTTGAATGGTGGACTTACTGTTTGACTCCAGAGAGAGCTGCAGAAGCCATTAACTGCCAGACATTAGATCATAAAAACCACAACAGGCCTGAGCATTTTAACGATACTTGGAAAAGAGTCAACAGCTTCAGTGCTATTGAGTGTCTAACAAGGTCATTTTACCCATTGTGATTGGCCGGCTGCCTCTCAGCTCTCATGCTAGCATCCATGCGGTACAAATGCTTTGTGAACCATAGATATTGGACAGGATATCAATCTCTTTTCCAATCTCTCCTTCAGGCTATGACTTCGCTGCGGTGTTGGAGTGGTTCGCCGAACGCGTGGACCGCATCATCCTGCTGTTCGACGCCCACAAGCTGGACATCTCGGACGAGTTCTCTGAGGTCATCAAGGCCCTCAAGAACCACGAGGACAAGATCCGTGTGGTGCTCAACAAGGCCGACCAGATCGAGACGCAGCAGTTGATGCGCGTCTACGGCGCCCTCATGTGGTCGCTGGGGAAGATCGTCAACACACCTGAGGTGATTCGTGTCTACATAGGCTCCTTTTGGTCGCATCCGTTGCTGATTTCAGACAATCGCAAGCTGTTTGAGGCAGAAGAGCAAGACCTGTTCAAGGATATCCAATCGCTGCCCCGCAACGCCGCCCTTCGCAAGCTCAACGATCTGATCAAGAGAGCTCGTCTGGCTAAGGTAAACTTTTATTACTATAAAAGTATTTTTTTTTTACAAACAATGTTTTTCAACAGCAATCCGCCTCCTAGATATAACTGTAGCTCAGGTAGTCAAACATAAAGCTGTCATTTAAAAGGAAACTGAAACTCTCTTCCGTCGGTTCATTTACGTCTGAAATCCTTTATTATCCGCATCAGTACAAATGTTGATCAAAACACAAGGGCCAGGCCAAAGAGACCCGTTCTGGAAGTGGACATGTTAGGGAATGTCAGTACTAGTCACTTATCAAACTCCATTTAGATCTCCAGGTCCAGTCGGATGCATTAAAAAACATACTTTAAAAGTAAGACCCACCTGAGGTTTTATCTAAGTATGATACTGAATTTAAACATGTATTTGCATTTAAACATTGATAAAAGCATTATAATATAACCATTAGTATTTTCTGGAAATTACTTAATAAAGTCATTTACTGATTTTCATGTCTCTCCGAGACGTAGAACAACATATGGTCAACAATCGTTCTCTTATAAAGCAGCGAGCCTTTGGAACACTCTTCCAAACAAAATTATCTTATGTACAAACTATAGTACATTTACACGCCTGACCAAACAGTGGTTATTATCAAAGCAAACCTGTACGCACTGAATGACTGTGATATGAATGATGTAAACTGTGAATGAGTGAGTGATAGTTTCCTGAAGTAGAGTGTTTTTTTATGATGCGAGTGAAGTAATGCTTCCATGTATTAGTTTGTATATATTTTATGAATTTTTGTAAGTATAACATCAACCTGTCCAGGGACAGCGGGTGGAAATTAGCATTTTTTGCTATAACCTGGCACATGACATGACTAATGTTTTTTTGTGCATTGTCCCTGATCAAATAAAGAAATAAACTAAACTGAACTAAACTCCAAACTCATTAGCTGTTATTTTTCCTTGGAGCTCAAAAGAATACATTTGAAGAATCTTTTTATGCAGCTATTTGTCATATAATAGTTACAATAGTGACCATGGCTATGAACTCTTCTTGTATATGTGTAGATTTTCCTTTTGAGTTAGACAATAATGTCAGAATGTTCATTTTTGGGTGAACTAATCCTATAAGTTCCAAACTCTTGATGAGTTCTGACTTCTGAACCGAACAACTACTGAAACCAAAAGCTGGATATGGCTAACAAACTGCTTAATGTTTGGCAAGCAAAATTTGTCTGAACGGAAACAAGTCTCAGCACTTATGCTTTTATAGTGTTGATGTTCAAACGGAAAATATTTGGTGTGTGATTCAGAATAAAAGGTCTGTTACTTCATTTATTCAGTTAACATGTTGCTGTTCCAACGTGTTTTTGATGTGGTCCAGCATATATAGCTCTAGTGTAAAAGTAATAGCAGTGTATACATGCATTTTGTGTGTTTACAGGCATTTTGTCTGTCTGAACTTGCAGACTTTACACAGTAATGAGGACATTTTACAAACTGTACTGTCTGCTGATGTGGCTCCTTGATGTTTGGCTACGTTTTTGATCAAGACTAAACCCAAGGGTTATAAAAGATACTGGTTGTGCAGGAAATCACAGCGAAACTAGATGAACAAATGCAAAGAAAGTCCTTGACTTTGACTCAGGGGTCAGTGATTAGTTGGAGATTGTTAGATGTGCTGAAAGATACTGAGGGATCATGAGTCAAAATGCCATTCCCCATAAAGACATGATTATAAATGACCTTGAGTGATTCAACAGTCTTCCTTGCTTTAATTACAAATTCTAAATCCAAGTCAAGTCAATGGAGTTGGACAAAAACTACGATAAAACCTGTTGGAAAGCATCTTTTGCAGCGATTTTTGTGTGAGAATATCAGTGAACACCCCAGACCACTCGGTGAGTTTCACGTCTTTGTAAACTAAAGTTTAATGCGTTTTATGAAGGATTGTTCCTGTGCACCTATGCAACCATTGTGGAGGTGGGGGGTGCTACCACAGAAACCGAAAATTCTCGGGCCAGCAGCATGTGTCCAAATTTCAATCTTAACCGTTCTATTTCATCAGAAACGATCTTAAAACAGGGCTTTAAGTGTAAAATACCGAACTTGTCCTTTAACCTGTTAACTGTCAACCCCCCTTTTGAGCATTAATCTGAACTTAAACTGCTAAGTAAGTGTCTTCTTTAAAAAAGAGTGCAAACTTGGGCCTGTATTCCAAAGCATTCATGAAGTGCAAACAACCATTTATTGCAGAAGTGAACGCACTTCAAAAAATGAAAGGGTAAAAAGTTATATAGCCAATGTACAGAACTAAACATTTTTATTTTATACAAAATATATATATATATAAAAAATTGGACTGAAATTACTGGAAAATCTAATCAAATTAGATGTTGATGTCACAAAAATTGAGCCTGCTAAATGGTTTTAAAGTACCATGGTAAAGCAATGGCTGTCACAGATAAATTTTTGAGTGTTTATGCTTTCGAATGATAATATAAATATATATGGGTAGGTTTAAGGGTGAATTAAGGTGCAAGAGAATGGTCAATAGTGTAATTATAGATTTATTTACTGAAATTAATTACATATGTAAATACATGCAGTTATATTAAAAAATATAAGTACAATGTAAAAATATGTGTGTACACAATAAGTTAAAATTTTAAATGTTAATACACATGTAATATAAAGAGGGACCAGCATTATTTTTTTTAAAGCATATTACCTTTTTAATTATTACAGTGTTTATGTATTAGTTTGACAGCCCTAGCGTTTTTATTATCTTTTGTCGGCTGCTGTAATGGCCAGATTCCACATTAAAACAATGTTTTTCAACAGCAATCCGCCTCCTAGATATAACTGTAGCTCAGGTAGTCAAACATAAAGCTGTCATTTAAAAGGAAACTGAAACTCTTACGTCGGTTCATTTACGTCTGAAATCCTTTATTATCCCCATCAGTACAAATGTTGATCAAAACACAAGGGCCAGGCCAAAGAGACCCGTTCTGGAAGAGGAAATGTTAGGGACTGTCAGTACTAGTCACTTATCAAACTCCATTTAGATCTCCAGGTCCAGTCGGATGCATTAAAAAACAACATTTATGTTTTGTCTCTGTCCCTCACCCTGATCATACAGATGTGCTTCCCCTCCTGTCATCATTTATACAGTCACCTTCCTTCCACGCTGGAGCCAGGCCCCTCTCTGCCACACATGACGATTTATTTAGTAGCTTGTGTATTCTTGCTAATATTCAGCTTTATAAGTAACGTTTTAACACATGTTTTTTATCTATAAAGGATATACAATCTAACAAAGCCTGTTAAGAACATTTTCAAGTCATATTTCAGACTAAAATCAAGAATAAAATTTAAGCCTGTTTTAGTAATATTTGGATCGACCATTCAGTCATTTTAAATCCAAGCTTGATTTAGCTGCATTTAAGGGCTGCTACTATAAATGATAAAGAAGAAAAATGTATTAATAATAATTAATTGTTTAATATTAAGAATTCTCCATGATAATTCCACATTCCCCCCTCCACATAAAAAAAAATTATTCATATTGTGAAAATGTCACAATAAAAAAAAAACGTAATAGTCCTAAAACTATTAATTTATTTATGAATTAATGATTTTTTTATTATACAGTATTGAGTTTCAATCATTTATTTAATGTATTTTATTTATTTTTGTGAAATACAAACTAGACATGCTCTTTCTAACTGTAGTCTACTGATGCTTGCTTTATAAAATTACAAGGAGCTTTGTTTTTGTGCTCTCACAGGTCCATGCATACATCATTAGCTCCTTAAAGAAAGACATGCCCTCAGTCTTTGGGAAAGACAACAAAAAGAAGGAGCTGATTAACAGCTTGGGCGAGATCTACAGCCGCATTGAGCGAGAACACCAGATTTCCCCGGGAGACTTCCCTAATCTTAAGAAAATGCAGGTAAGGTCAATCGAAACAATAGAGACTGATTCAAGAATGCTTAACTAGGACTTTTAAAAGGTCTTTCTCTAGAATCATTTGGCACATTTCAGTACACATTAAAAAGCAGCATTCATTTTTCCACATTTCATTCAAGCCCATATGACTTTTTTAAATCAACAAAAGCAATAGAAATGCTTCATCTTTGGGTGGACCTCTCCAAACCTGATTATGTGTCTGTCTTATAGTTAAAAATGACCACTTGAGTAAGAATGCAGTTTATATAATTGATGCTTTTATAAAACAGCTCTACAAACAATTGAATCTTGAGTCATTTGCGTTTCAGACAAAATTTGGCCAGTTAGTTTGTATGTTTCTTCTCCGCCAACACAAAACTATTTTCAAAAGAAGCCAAAGCATCAAGGTATTCATATTGTCAAGCAGCAACAGCCTGTCTGGAACAGAGTATGTGAGGGGAGGGGAGCTGTTTTACCCTAGAAGTATCAACAGATGTTGACAGGATCTTTTGTTACATTCTTTCCCGCTGAATAGGATCAGCTTCAGGCACATGATCTGAACAAGTTCCAGCCTCTGAAAATGAAGCTATTGGACTCCGTGGATGACATGCTGGCTCACGACATTGCCCAGCTTATGGTTCTGGTACGCCAGGAGGAGACGCAGCGCCCCAATCAGATGGTGAAGGGCGGCGCCTTCGAGGGCACTATGAACGGGCCGTTCGGACATGGATATGGCGAGGGGGCCGGCGAGGGCATTGATGAAGTCGAATGGGTGGTGGCACGTGACAAACCCATGTATGATGAAATCTTCTACACTCTCTCACCTGTCAATGGCAAAGTGACTGGGGCCAATGCCAAGAGGGAGATGGTGAAGTCCAAGCTGCCAAACACTGTGCTGGGTAAGATCTGGAAGCTGGCTGACATTGATAAAGATGGGATGCTCGATGACGAGGAGTTTGCCTTGGCCAACCACCTGATCAAGGTCAAACTAGAAGGTCACGAGCTTCCAAGCGAACTGCCTGCTCATCTTGTGCCGCCCTCCAAGAGAAAGGTTACAGAGTAAGATTGAAGCGGCTTGGAACCTGGATGGATTTTGGAAAAGCGAATAGTGTGCATTTAGGTTGCAGTTGAATTATTGATGGCTGGACAACCATTATATAGAAAAAAACAGTGACTTCGTTGAAATGTGTGGTTTATGCTTCAATTGCAAGAATGGATTTGAAAATGATCCACCTTTTCAACTATTTTGACCTGTGTATGTTTTTTTTTAGTTTAGTTTAGTTTTTTTTTATAAACAAGTCGTACTGTCTGCAGTGTTTAAAATAGCTTTCAGATTTTAGTCATATTTTTATGCCATAGTTTCAATTTCATCTTTTCAGCTATCATGACTCCAACACTGTGTCCTAACCAGACGTGTTGCGATAAAAGATATTATATGTAAAACAGCACATTTTGTCGATCGCTTGGTTGCATTTCTGCGACATTGTGCTGGCTAGCTTCGCCCACAGTGAAATCTCATTGGACCTACTTCACGTAACTACATTAAACATCAATGTCAATGATTGGTTGTCATTGTGTCATGTTGCATAGCTGTTTCGCGTGCCGAAGAATTACTTGTCGCTTGCGTCTGGTAAGGATGTGCTAAGATGCTTTATCAATATATTTCACTTTCATGTTTAATTTACACTACTGTTCAAAAGTTTGGGGTCAATAATATGCTTTTGAAAGTATCTTATGCTCACCAAAAATAAAGTAAAAAAACCTGTGGTCAACGCTGAATTGTTCAGCATCATTACTCCAGTCTTCAGTGTCACGTGATCCTTCAGAAATCATTCTAATATGCTGATTTGATGATCAAGAAACATTTCTTATCATTCTTAATGTTGAAAACAGAGTTGCTAAATTGTTTGGGGAAAGCGAGATCCATATTTCAGGATTCTTTAAAAAATAGAAAGTTCAGAAGAACAGGATTTATTCGAAGTTGAAATCTTTTGTGACATTATTAATGTCTTTTAATGTCATCATTGCTGAATAAAAATATTTTCTCTAAAAAAAATCTAACTGACCCCAAACTTTTGAACGTGGTGTATATCAGACTGATCTGTGTCTCAGGTGGGATGTGAGACATCAATTACTGCAGAAAAACATGAATTTTATTCTGAATCTTAGTATCAGTTGTTGTTTTACATGCACAACTGGTATAATGGAACGAGTAAAGCAAAATTCCTTTTATAACTAGGTGTAATTGTATTCTCTTCTTGTTAAGGCGGCATCTTAATGAATGCGAGTCCTTTCTAGCCTGACCAAGAGACTGTTAAAACTGTATAGCCGTCATGTCAGAAGACTCAATGTTTAGTGTTTTGATGGACCCGTAGAGCTAGTATCCTTGTCAATAGTATACTGTATATGTTAATGCTTAACATATCTAAACTAAATTGGGTTATATTAGTTTTTATGTAATTCCGGTCTGAATTCCAAAGAAAAGAAAAAATAGATTGACTCTGCGAAACAGCTGTTACACTTTATTCAAATGATGTGAATGAGAGTTTCTACATTCAAATGCTCATTGAAAGAGCAGCGGCTTTGGATCTAATATGTATCAAGTCCTATTACTTTATTATATCAGCATTTAATGAACTCTTTACCTCTCTATCCACCCCTTGAAAAGCAGTTATCTAGAGCTGTCACATTTTCTCCTGCAGATATTTAGGATCTGAAGGTAAATTGATAGGGTTTTATGCACTGAACTAAATGGTCTTTAAAGTTATAGATCACCCAAAAAATGACAATTCTGTCATTATTTACTCAACATAATGTATTTCCAAACCTGTATGATTTAAATACTGTGGTTGACAACAAAAGGAGATCTGCTTTTTTTCTAAACAAGCCCCATAAAGTGTCATAAAATAGTTTGATACAGCTTATACACTATATTCCATGTCTTCTGAAGCAAGTGATTAATTACTGAAAATCGCCATATTACGTACATATTGTAATTTGGCATGTCATGATTGGTTATGAGGCACACTGACGTGTTTGGCATCACAGTGCCATTAAAGGGATAGTCCTCCAAAAAACTAAAATGTTGTCATCATTTCCTCACCCTCATGTCGTTTCAAACCTAATGACTTACTGTCTTCTGTGGAACATAGAAGAAGATATTTTGAAAAATGTTGTTATATAAACAGTTTCGGTTCAGATTGACTTCCATTTTTATATGGACGAAAATACAATGCAAGTCAATGGGAACCAAAACTGTTTGGTTATCAACATTCTTCAAAATATCATATTTTGGGTTCAGCAGAAGAAAGAAATACAGGTTTGGAACAACATGAGATAAAAAAAAATATACACATTTTGATGGACATGATGACTAAATAATGACAGGATCTTTACTGTGTGTACTGTTCCTTTAAATCTGATCTGCTTTGATTTGACTGCCCAGTTGCTTATGTGAAATATCTCCACTGATTCCAACAAAACCTCTAAGCCTGTTTAGTTTGATGAATTAAACCTAAAATCTGCCTCGGTGCCTTGAGACACACCCGCCTCAATCAGATTTGTGACATTAGAAATGTATAAAGCACATTGTCGTATTCTACAATACCATTACATGCTAATAAATTGAACTGACATTTCTTCCAAGACTTTCATTAATGCTCCATTTACAGTTTGATGTGAGTCTCAAATGGAAAAATTCCAGACGTTTTGCACATCAGATTTTTTTGGGCCATAAAGTAGTGTTGTGTATTTCTGTGTTTGACCAAGTATGTACATGTATTTGGGTGCAATATGGTTTGCAAATGTATTATGAAGTAGTTTGTGTACGTGTGCTTGTGTGGAGCACAGATGCTCTGTTGCTCATTGTGTTTTAACCAGTGCGGACAAATTATGTGAGACACTACTGTTCAGGGAGGTGGACATTATTCAACTAAATAAAGATCAAACTCATTTAAAGGTCTTTTGTGTTCAGGTTTTTTTTGTTTGAGTCTCGTTACATGTCGACCTAACTATATTTATACTAATTTTGTTTTGGAGGGCTCCTACAGTTGGTTTAAATGCATCCAAAAAAATAAACATTTACATTTTCTCATACTTTGCACCACCTCATTTCTCAAACTGTCTGAAAACGGTTCGTTTAAAGATTCAGGGCCCTCTTTTAATGATCTAAGCGCACGGTGCAAGTGCACTTAGGGCGTGTCCTAATCCACTTTTACTAGTTTAACGATGGGAAAAATGGTCTCCATGCCAGGCGGTGGTCTAGAAGGGTTGTCTCTATTCTCTTCATGAGTAATGCGTGTGTTTTGGGCATTACGTGCAATAAACCAATCAGAGTCTCATCTCCCATTCCCTTTAAATGCCAGTTGCACTCGTGGAATTTGATAGTGGAAAGACTGAACGCTTCTCCAGAGAGGAAACGGATCTGCTCGTGCGCGAGGTTAAAGCGCACAAGCAGACCATCTATGGGACAAGCCGGATTCCACCATATCTTTATGTACACAATAATAATATTTTAAATTGTAATCCGTTTATTTTTAATATTTGGCTGGTTTGTGTGCTGCAGCGTCCCTGTGTGTGTAATAAGCAGAGTGTACGCGCGTGTTGGACCCGGCGCATATGACTAACGCGCTCTTTAAATAACAAAAAACACATTTCATTTGTATAGAAAGTCTGGCCACTCTCCATTGACAAGCGTTAACTTCCTTGAAGGCGGGTACTCTGTTGAAGTTTAAAACTCTTGGATCTGCCCAGAGTCACTCTGGATCTGCCATAACCAATCGCTAACGTTTGGTCGAGACGTATGTCTACAACTCAAACTAGCGCACCTCAACGTCATCGTTCTCAGCCACTCCCTCTGTTCGGTGATTGGACCGGCAAAAAAATGATCAGAGAAAACCCAAGAATATACAGCAAACCCAGACGTAGTACTGAAGGAATATGAAAATTGGGAGAAACTATATAGGAGGGCAGAGCCAGGCTAGCAGTTTTTTTTCAGTTGCCTCAAAATAGCAACGCACCAACAATGCGGCCGACGCCCCGAACACACCTCGTTTTCAGACCAGCACGCCCATGGGCGCACAAATAGGCGCAAATGCATTTGCTATTTAAACAACGTGGCGCAGGATGTGAAATTGATAACTGCGTCGGACTGAAACTAGCAAAGAACAATGGCTCTGCATTGTGCCGGGTGTATGATAGGGCCCATAGTCTTTCTAAACTCCTCCTTTCCGCAAGCTTACTCTGTTCTGATTGGTCAGTCTGTTGTGATTGGTCTACCGCTTACAGCGCATGTCAGAAATTAAATGCCTGTTACCATATCTTAATTTCAGCTCCGGATACTTCCTCAGCGATGAAAACAGCATGTTGTTAAATTGTTACGTTGGTGAGTAACAGGAAGTGAGACAGAATAGATTCTTTCTTTTAGGAGGCAATAACTATGCAGACCCTTTACCTTCACAAACAGCTATATTACACACTGCATGAAAAGTAATATCTGGACATGCATAATAGACAATAAACAAACAAAACCAATGACAAAAATAGTAAAAGTTTTGAATTAATTTTTTTTTTTACTTCACAATGTACAACTACATACCTGCAGTAATAATATTCCTTCAGTTTTCCCAAAACATTTCAAGTCTGTCTTTGTCTAGAAATGGGATAGACAGGTCATATGGATGTACAAAAAAACATTGGTAATCATGCTAAACACAGGAACTCCCGGTGGAGACAGTACATAATGTTTTCTGCAGATCCTCGTCCTGCATTAACAGGGCCGTCTGCATGAGTGATGGCTTCCTGTTTGTTGCATCATGTATTGTATGTCCTAGGAAACGCAAGCACAGGGTGGATTCTCATTTGGACATGTTCTTGACAGCAGGATATGATAAGCAGGGAACACCTGACCCTTCCTCACTACCCGTCACGGAATATTCTCTCCAAGTGATGGAAAATGCTCACTTAAGGACAAGCTACAGGGGTATGGGGGAAGTATGTATAAGATAATCAAACTTTGCATTTAAAAAATAAAATAAAATAAAAAATTATATATATATATATATATATATATATATATATATATATATATAAACCACAATACAGAAAATGATATCCACTACTGTTCAGAAATGTGGGGGTTGGTAATATTTTTGAAAGAAGTCTCTCATGCTCACCAAGGCTGCATTTATCTAAAATACTGCAAAAAACAGTAAAATTATTAAATATTATTACAATTTACACTGTTTTCTATCTTAATATACTTTAAAATGTCATTTATTCCTGTGATGGCAAAGCTGAATTTTAAGCAGTCAGAATTAAAGTCTTCAGTGTCACATGATCCTTCAGAAATCATTCTAATATGCTGATTTGGTGTCAAGAAACAGTTTTGCTTTCTAATATTTTTGTGGAAACGGATAAATTATTCTTTGATTTATTTAAAGTTCAAGAGAACAGTATTTGAAATAGAAACATTTTGTAACAAATACATTTTTATTTTTCAAAATAAAATAAAAATGTGTCCTTGCTGAATAAAAGTATTAATTTCTTTCAACAACAAAAAAAATACATTCTTATGCACCCCGAAGTTATCTATCCAGGCCAGGTGATCCCACCACAAGAGCTGATCAATACCATCTGCTGGGAGTGACCAGAAAACCTACCGGTATGCGATTATAGGATTTATGTTCTCATAAACATACTGCAGATTCATCAGGCATGTTTGCCAGGTAAAATCTAAAGGGTG